CCCTTATTTAGCGCTTTCCTACGGACACTTTTTTATACAGAGTCTGTACTCCTTACCTCTACACTCCATATACCAGGCATTAATTATAGCGCGCAACAATATCTTATCGAAATATCCTTAACGTGCAAAGGTACGCCTTGCATGCAGCGTTATTCAATTTAGTATTCTTTTAAGTTTTAGGTTCCTTAGCTAAATATTATTCTAATCGTATGAAAAAAATACTTTTTTAATATAATATGAGTAGGGTAACACAGTCCACACATAGTCCAACTGATGTAATGTGGGTGCTGTGGCAGATTTTTACAAATTATTCATTTTCAACAAAAATGATTGAAAATTTAAATAGAGAAGAATGGGTTCCCAAAAGAAAATGTTCGACTTTATACAGCAAGTACTTTAAAGAAAAAAGTTTTCTCATAGAGGTGCCTGACGTGTAGTGGCGGCGTAAGAATATCAAGTAACCCATACCATCCCATGGGCGCCGTAAGAGGCGACAAAGGGATACAAACCTGGAGATCGGTAGCAGCGGCTTCTTAGTAATGATTAAAAATTAAAATAAACTGCAGTTGCCAACCCGCTTGCCAAGCGTGGCAATATGTTCAGCAGTGGACTTTAATAGCCTGTAACAGTAACATCCTTATACACATATTAATAAAATTACGTATTGAAACTTATTTTTTTAAATTTTAAATTTATTAGAATAAAGTAGGTAGCAAAAAAAAAATGCGAAATATCTTCATAGGGAGACCTCATAACATTTTTACCATTAATTTTAAATACAATTAATGTTTGAAGGATTCTAAAAAATGATATAGCAGTCTTGTTTAATACATTTTTACGTTTTCTATCGCAATTTGATTTTAGTTATTAACATTTAATTTATATACACTTCATAACACGCATACGTATACCAATATTTAATCGAAGTTTCTTTCAGCGAATTTATATTAACAACTTTTGAAGTTTATGTATGAACTAAGTGGTTAGACCCCCTTTCTCTGTGGGAGGGTGTCTGGGTAGATATCATGCTCTTAACTAGACGGTTTGTGGCTTCTTGAAAGACCTTTCTTTGTTTTAAGTTGGCTGCAAGTTGCCCTGGGCTGCTGGAGCCACTTGCCATCCGTGGCTGTAAGTTCGTTAGATACTTGTGTTAAAAAAAACTTTAACCAATGAATGTTAATATCGTTCACATTTTAATAACATGTATTTTATTAATGTCGAAAATATTCTAAATAACACCTTTTATTGGATACCTAGGCACAATATTTCAATATGCATTTAATTATTATAGAATATATATTCAGCGAGGAAAAGCAGCCAGCGTTCTTGGTACAATACCATGGGGAGTAGGTAGTAGTAGGTATACGATAATTTAAATTTTTAGTTTTAGTTTTGCTCATATATATGGTTTTTTAATATTTTAAATATTTCAACGTTTCATTATATCTCCGCAATATGTCGCCATATTAGTTTACATGTGATTTCATGCAGCTTAAAAGCCACGAAAGGGCACAATGTTTTTATTAATATCTAATTTGTCAATATAAGATGAGTAGTTTAGAGTATTTGAGGGAACAGATGAACATACATACATACATTCGAAAATGTAACCATTCTTATGGCTTCGCAGTGGTTAGGTAAAAATATTCAATTATTAAATCAAACTGTCTAAGAGTAACAAAAGATTATTCACTCTTGTCTTGAAGACGCCTTGATTGTTATCGGGCGACAGACGCCAGTAGATTATTCTACTCATTCTGCTGTACACATATAAGAATACATTCTTATGGCTTCGCTGTGGTTATGTAATAATATTCAATTATTAAACCACACTGTCTAAGAGTAACAAAAGATTATTCACTCTTGTCTTGAATACGCCTTGATTGTTATTGGGCGACAGACGCCAGTAGATTATTCCACTCCTACTGCTGTACACATATACGAAGTACATTCTTATGGCTTCGCAGTGGTTAGGTAAAAATATTCAATTATTAAATCAAACTGTCTAAGAGTAACAAAAGATTATTCACTCTTGTCTTGAAGACGCCTTGATTGTTATCGGGCGACAGACGCCAGTAAATTATTCCACTCCTTCTGCTGTACACATATACGAATACATTCTTATGGCTTCACTGTGGTTATGTAAAAATATTCAATTATTAAATCACACTGTCTAAGAGTAACAAAAGATTATTCACTCTTGTCTTGAAGACGCCTTGACTGTTATCGGGCGACAGACGCCGGTAGATTATTCCACTCCTTCTGCTGTACACATATACGAATACATTCTTATGGCTTCGCTGTGGTTAAGTAAAAAAAATTCAATTATTAAATCACACTGTCTAAGAGTAACAAAAGATTATTCACTCTTGTCTTGAAGACGCCTTGATTGTTATCGGGCGACTGACGCCGGTAGATTATCCCACTCCTTCTGCTGTACACATCATATACGAATACGAAGCAAACCATTTGGTTCTAATGCGTAGAACATCGACAACAAAGCAGTCAAGAACCACCAACCGTCTAGTTGTGTAAATGCTAAAAGAGGAGGAGGTACTAAGGATATAATCTCTACACACACTCTCTGAAAATCATCCATTAGAATACCGCACAGGCTGGTTATTACACGCCTATGCTTATTGGTTTCAACCAAATCAATGTTACTTTTAAGCTTTTTAACACGTATTTCTACTGAATCTAACGTTGAGTTGAACTTTGTGCTTTCTAAGAACTTAAAAAAGTAAAAACTGACTTAAACTTTCCAAACAATAAGTTTTATAATTTGCTACCCTTAGGTTTTAAATTTATATGGAACCCTTAAGAATAACATATTTCACAAAAAAAAATATCAAAACTGGTAGACAATCAGCGAAGATATCGCGTAACATACCTACATCCAAAAAAAAACTGCACTAAAACTGAGAAACTCCTCGGTTAACAAAGGCAAATTAATGTAGACGACCATTTTTATAAAATTGAAGATGATAGAACACAGATATAAGACACCTGACGGTAAGTGTCCACTGCAGTCCATGGACATATTACGCAACAAATTTTCAAACAAAGAAGGCTGAAAATGCGTTATCACTTCTGAGGACTAAGCTAGTACACCTCACAGCCTGTATTTACATTGGCAGCTTATGCACTGATGCTTGACAGCACAATTAGGTCAATGGGTGATACCTGCTCTAACGGACTACCAATCGGACTATTCCGATCACTTGGTAAGAATCATGTTATAATAACACTAAAAATAAATGATATAACGTTTTGCCAAATGGTGTTAATTAATAAAATATTTAGACATTAAGCTAAAACTCACTTAAATATTAGTACAAATATCATAGGTCGTGTGAAAACTGTGTAATGGACTTATATTTGATAAATAAATTCCCTATAATAAGAATTCAAAATTCCTTTATTTTGTTTAGGTGGCCTTGGAACATTTGTTGGTAAAATAAGATTTCGTACTGCAGAAAAAACAGATGCACGGGTCAAATTAATGAACGAAGTTATTAATGGAATACAGGTGAGAAACACAAAAACGTGTTAATTTAAATCAAATATCTATTTTAATTACAAATAGTAAAGATAAATACAATATTTAGTATTATGTTGTGTTATGTTGTTATATATAAAATATATGTAATCTTTTTAATAAAATACAATATTTGTTAAAAAGATTACATATATCAGTTCCCTCTCGTTCACTGCGCTATTACAATCCTTTACATGTTTCTTTATATAGATCAAATTACAGGCGAAACTCATTCTTCTTAAGAGCATGTAACTCATTTAATAAATTTTCTAAGGACTGTGATCGAAGAGGTCAGCCTTGACCTCTTTTCTACTAGTGGTAATACTATTTGCAAATTGATAACATCTGAATTCAGTAGAAATTTACTCTTGAACTCTTAAATCTAATCAACATCAATGTATAAATTATATCTACTTATATATGTTACATGTATTTACTCAAACCGATTACTCATCTGTGAAAACTTTTAATAGGCTTACTTTGTAAATTATATTATATACCGTATAGTATTAATTAAAAGCTGTAAGTTTTCCTGTAATAAATAAATAAATAAATATTATACCATAATATGAATATACGACGATTATATCTTAGTAGGTAATGTGTGAAAAGAATACCCGGGAACTAATTAGCAGATTTCTGCGTTTTTCTGAAAATAGAGAAACAATAAAAAACAGAGGTTTTTTTTATACGACGCGGTTTTTTTATATGATATCAACACGCCCTTCAAGTGCGAGAACTTTGGCAAACATACCTTCCATTCAGAAAGTTACTAAGAGACGGCTCTCAGTCTCCGGCGGCCCCTGTATCCCTGACAACTGTGACGAAGATAGTAACGGCGTAACGGGGGCGCTAAAAATCGCGGGCGAAGGATCGGTTGCCACCTTTAACGTATTGACTGGTTACTCTAAACGCATGCAACTTAAGGACTGAGTACAAGATACTGGAGCTGGAAGAAGAGACAGACACTGTGTTGGGATATTATACGATTGTTTGAGATCCGAAAAGTTGAGGAGGACTCGGTAATCCTTAAATCCAGCAACGAGAAAGGCGTACATCTCTACTAAGGACACTTTAACCGAGTAATAATAATTAAAACATTACCTTCTCCCTAATCCCTCAAAGGCACATGTTCATCAGTTACTGTTTAACTTCTGAATGATAAAAAAATTAACCCAAAGGGAAATTGTATGTTGGATGCCCTCCCCCTCCACGCTGAAATTTCGGTAACGGCTTTATATGATCTTCGAGGCAAGCGTGTTAAACACCGTTCACTTCCTGAGTCCAACTTGCTACTTTTTTATAGAAAAACCCGATAGAAAATTTTGTCCCGATCAAATCCGGACATGATGAGCAGTTACGGTTACGAACATTAGACAATCTAGGCAGTCAACGTTACATAGACAAAAAATAATAATTTAGAAATAGCCGTTTTATTTTGTTTATTTTTCAGGTGATCAAAATGTATGCGTGGGAAATTCCGTTCCAAAAAGTAGTAGGGCAAAAACTTATGGATGAGCTGAATCAAATAAAAATTGCCTCCGTGCTAAGGGTTGTATTCAATGGTTTTATGATTTTTACAGAAAGAGCAGCCCTTTTTATAACCGTTCTATCGCTTATTTTGCTTGGAAAAGTAATGACTGCTAATTTTGTGAGTATACTTTGTATTTTGTTAATGTTAATTTATAATTTTATATAATAAAATATAATTAGTTTTATTCAATAAAATAAAGTCTTAACTATCATATCTGCAAATCTTAGGTGTCACCAGACATTCGGGAAAATTCTATCGGCAAACATAGACTTATTATACTACTGCATATGGACCGGGTCGTTGAACAAATAAATTGGCACCGACTCTTTGGTGCGAAAATGTTTATGAAGCACCAATGCGAGCACCAATGCGTACCATGCGTCCGTGCAGTGTTTCCACTTTTAGATATTTTACACTATTTTGTGGTAAATCTACTAATATAAGTAGGGCTTTAGTCGTTTCAAAACCAAACTTCAGGTAACATTGAAGTACTATGTACTTACGTACTAGAACAGCTATCTCAAACAAAAATGTGCGCTACTCTGTGTTCACGCGGTTGTTTTTTCATCATAGAACAAACATAGGTAGAAAGACCCGTAGGTAATAGTAGACTGTATTGTTAAATATACACACAATTACATTTTAATGATATTTTTATCAGTGGCGAAGCTTCCATTAAAGCCGAAAAGCCGGGCTTGCCTTATTAAACCTGAATCAATCAATCAATATCAACTAATAAAATAACTCAGTAAAATGTTTCAAGCTATTTCAAATTTCCCGCGCACTCCACTGTTCGACACATGTCGACCGATGACCTCGTATTGCTTTAGCGATACTGCTGTTGTCATAAAAAATGAGTTTTAATAGAGCTAATAGTTGTATCCCTCGCTCGGGTGGGCTTTTTACGGGGCTTTCGAGAAGACGATCGCTCTCTTTCTAACCTATGGCAAAATATTCTATAATGAAATATAACTACGATTGTATATATAACAATTAGTATAGCGATTTAAAGCCAGGCTTTTGGGAATAAATTTGTTAAAAGCGGAGGCGCGCGGGCAATACGTTTACAAGTTCATTTCACGTTTCAATGTTTATTTACTCTGTGTGCTTATCTTAAGCGATTTAATATTACGAGTTCAAAATTTATGCTTTTTTAAAGATTTTTAATGAAAATGGAGGATAATAGTGTTCCTTGTGATGAATTGAAGTCTGTTAAAGTAATAATCGGAGAGGAAATCTTTAAACTTTGTTGAGATAATACAAAGGATTAAGAGTGTATTTCAGACCTATCAATTATCGCAATTAAAAACAGTTATTGGTACAATTAAAACGTTCACCAACATTTACGTGGACGTAATTAAATCTTTCCATAAGAAAGCGAGACGATTCCATTTATCTTATCTTATCTCTTATCCATCATCATCATCATCATTACAGCCCTTCACAAGTCCACTGCAGAACATAGGCCTCCCCCAAGTAACGCCACAAAGCACGGTCCTGAGCCACCTGCATCCATCGACTTCCTGCATGTCTTACCAGGTCGTCACTCCATCTAGTGGGGGGTCGCCCTACACTACGCCTACCGGTACGAGGCTGCCACTCGAGAACCTTTCTTCCCCATCGGTTATCGGTTCTTCGAGCTATATGGCCGGCCCATTTCCACTTCAGCTTACTAATCCATTGGGCTATGTCGGTCACTCTGGTTTACTACGGATATCCTCATTTCTGAGTCTATCACGCAGAGAAACTCCGAGCATAGCCCTCTCCATAGCTCGCTGAGCGACCTTGAGCGTCCTCATACGGCCAGCAGTGAAGGACCACGTCTCTGATCCATAAGTCATCACTAGCAACACGCACTGGTTGTACACTTTAGTTTTCAGAGATTGAGGTATACCTGACAAGAAGATGTGTCGTAATTTCCCGAACGCTGCCCAGCCGAGTTGAATCCGTCGATTGACCTCTCGGTCGAATTTGGACTTACCTAGTCGGACTATTTGTCAAAGGTAAACGTACTCGTCAACAACTTCGAGCATAGTGCTCCCCACAACTACCGGCATAGGTGTGACGTGGACATTGAACATAATCTTTGTTTTGTCCATGTTCATCTTAAGACCTATCCGTTGGGAGACACAATTGAGGTCCTCCAGCGCTTCTGCTATAAGGACTATATCGTCGGCAAATCGAAGGTGAGTGATGTACTCGCCATTGATGTTAATACCGTATCCTTTCCAGTCCAGTAGCTTGAAAACGTCTTCCAACGCAGCGGTGAAGAGTAGTAGGTGAAGGGATATAACGTCACCCTGTCTTACACCTGTCTGCAGTTGGATAGGTTTCGAACTCTGGTTCTGTACTCGGATAGCCATCGTAGCCCTACTGTACAAACACTTCAGCACCTCGATATACCGACAGTCAACTTGGCACCACTGAAGGGACTGTAGCACCGCCCAAATTTCGACGGAATCAAAGGCTTTCTCATAGTCCACATACGCCAGGCAAAGTGGCAGATTGTACTCCTCGGTCTTCTGTACAATCTGCCGCAGGGTATGTATGTGGTCTATGGTACTGAAGCCTTTTCGGAAACCGGCTTGTTCGGGAGGCTGGAAGTCCTCGAGTCTGTGTGCGAGACGATTCGTAATGACTCTCGAAAACAGCGCGTAGAGAGCGGCTCAGAAGGGAAATCGGTCTGTAGTTCTTCAAGAGAGCGTTGTCGCCTTTCTTAAAGAACAAGACCACCGCACTTCTGCTCCACGCCTCCGGAGTAGTGCCACCATGGAGGACGGAATTGAAGAGCCTCTGAAGGACCTCAAGTACCGGTGTTCCACCCGCTTTCCGAAGCTCCGCTGTAATTTCATCCTCGCCTGGGGCCCTGCCGTTTTTAAGGTGCTGGAGAGCCATTCTAATCTCGCTCAGACTGACGTCCGGGATATCATCGGAATAGTGTCGGGTAAGACTTGCTCTTGTATCGTTACTCACACTTGCGTGTGGCTCCAACGATGATGTGTACAGCTACAGCCCATAGAACCTCTCAATCTCACTCAAAATCTCAGGTGTCCCGGTAACGATGCTGCCACACTCAGTCTTCAGCTTTGACAGTTGGCTCTTTCTGGCAGACAGATCTCTGGCAAAGACTTTGGAGCCCTGGTTCTGCTCGATCGCTTCTTTAATACGAGCAGTATTAAAGTTGCGTAAGTCTTGCCGCATGCATTTGGAGATCTGTCTGTTCAGTTGCCTGTATGCTGTCAAATCTGTTGACGATTGCAGCCTCATCTCCCGTATAACAGCCATGAAATTAAGAGTGTGATCGGAGAGTTTTTGTGTTCTTCTGCGGCGGGTCTTGCAGAACTTAGCTCCGCATATCGTCCACTGCATTGCAATCTTCTAGGCACTGAAAGCGGTTACGTAACTCGAGCTGAAAAGTCTCGAGATTCTGGATTAGAGCACGAGGGGGACGGAGCGTTGACTTCATTAGACGAGACCTCTCCAACTTAACGTTTAGGTTCAGTGTGCCTCTAACCATTCGGTGATCGCTGCCGGTTTTCACCCTTGCGATCACTGAGACATCACTAAACAGTTGGCGTCTGGTCGTCATAATGAAGTCAATCTTATTTTTTGTCGAACCGTCGGGGCTCGACCAGGTCCACTTCCTGTGGGGCCGCTTCTGGAAGAAAGAGTTCATCATAAAGAGTCCCTCTTTCTCCATAAAGTCAGCCAACTGCTGGTTCCTACGGTTCCGTTGCCCTACTCCAAATTTCTCTAACTTCAGCTCATCACCTTCTCTTGTGCCTAGTTTTGCGTTGAAGTCTCCGATCAACACCGTGTAGTGGGTTTTGGAGGAATGCATGGCTCTAGAAATATCCTCATACATTTCCTCCACCTCCTCATCGGGATATGCCGAGGTTGGTGCGTAGACCTGTATGACCTTCAGCGAATACCGTTTGGTGATTCTGAGTATCAGGCCCTATATATACACGACCCTCGTCGACACACTCCCAATCTTTACAACGTTGATGACGAGAGACTTGTGGACGATAAATCCGACACCTCCTTGGGACAGATGGTCGCCCTCCCGGTGATAGAACAAGTTGCCTGACTCGAGGATTACCGTGTCCTCCCCCTCTCTTCGGACCTCAGATAATCTAATAATATGCCAGCGCAACTTGTCTATCTCTTCTTCCAGCTCCAGTATCTTCTCGTCTGTCCTCAGGGTGCGTGCGTTATACGTTGCCAGGTCGAGTCGTCGTAGGTGGCAACCGAACCTCCACCGGAGATTCTTAGCACCCCCTGCCCCGCCGTTACCATGGCATTCCTGGCTATTTCTTATTCATTAGAATATAAATATTTTTTTTTTAATTTTGTACATAGTTTGTTTGTACTTTGTTCGTGTTTTACTTTTGTTTATGTATTGTATTGGATGTAAATATTTTTTTCTTTCGCTTAAACAAACCCTGAATATGAAACTGAAGCGTGAAGACAGATCAAGATTGGTGTATTTTTATAAAACTGCTAATAACAATAATCTATAATTTTATCAATTTATATCTTGGGCTTGCCCTAGCTTGGAGCTCTAGCTTCGCCACTGATTTTTATCTGAATATTTTAAAAGGTATCTAAGTCAAATATAAAAAAAGACATACTATATGTATTTTTATCAAAACTTATTAAAATAACATTTAAATTACAAATATATTTATTTAAATTAGAATAAAAGTCGTTCATAAATGCTGAGTACGCGAGAGTTAAAAATTGACGTATTTATACCACTTTGAATTTGATGAGGAAACCTAAAAATAAAATAAAGAATAATCAGATCTAGACATGAAAAATTTTGTCTAATTATAATAACTTGTAGTTTCTACAAAAAAATGTGTGTAATAATATATTCGTCCTATACTTAAGTACCCACAGAAATGTCGCATCTGAACATATTAATTTCATAATCTATATTACCTGACACGAGATGGCGTCTTAGGAAAAATTTCTTTTATTATTAATACATAATACTTTTTTATTGATTAAGTATCTTATTAACCGATGAAAAGTAGTTCCTTGATTTTTACTGACATTTCTTGAATTATTTGTGCAATATCTAAGTACACACG